TAAAATTTAAGTCGAATTTAATTGGCACCAATGAACCCCAAGCCTAGATTAGATGGCACGGAGATTTTTCAAACTCAAATTAGCTAGCATCCAAACATAGATTAGCTGGCACTCATACTTTAAGCCTAGTTTAGCTAACACTTTAAGCCCAGATTAATTGACACTCAAACCCAGATTAGCTAGCACCCATATTTCAAATCCAGTTTGATTGGCACCTAAATTTTAAGGCCAATAAAATTGGCACCAGTTAAGAAAAATATTGTGATCAAGGTTTCTTCAAAATTATTCGATGGTGATATTCAAGTATTCATGTTTTCATATCATTAAAGTTGTCTTAATGGTGATATCTAAGCAATCATGTTTGATTACATTTGCTTATTTACTTAGTAGTGATATTCGAGTTCTTTTCAGTGGTGATACCTAAAATTCAACAAATCTTAAAAATTAAATGTTTCATTTTTCTCAAAAAGTAAATTTTCAGAAAATGATTCAAAAGTCTTCTGAATAAAAGTTTTTTAATTTTTAAAGTTTCAAGCCTCTTTTTAGAAGAGTATTCAAAGATGTTGAGATTTATAAGACCTCCAAGCCTAGTCTCTAAGTATTTCGAGCAAGATTCATAAGTCTTTTAAACATAAGTTTTTTAAATTTTCAAAGTTTCAAAACCTTTTTTAGAAAAGCATTTAAAGATATCAAGATTTGTAAGACATCCAGGCCTAGTCTCTAAAGTCCTTTGGGCAAAATTCGTAAATCCTCTAGGTATAATTTTTTTTAATTTTTAAATTTTAAGGCCTTTTTTTTAAAGGAGTACCATAAATATCAAGATTTATAAAATCTCTGAGCATAATCTCTAAATACTTCGAGTAAAATTCATAAGTGTTCCAAGCAATTTTTTTTTTAATTTTCAAAGTTTCAAGGCCTCTTTTTAGCGGAACATTTAAAGATGTTGGGATTTGTAAGATTTTAGGGCCTAGTCTTTAAGTCCTTTAAACAAGATTCATAAGTATTCCAAGCAAAATCTATTTGTGTCGAGATTTGTAAGACCTCTAAACATAATCTCTAAGTTCTTATGATAAGATTCGTAAGTCTTTTGAGCAAAATCTGTCTCAATTTTGAGATTTGTAAGACCTTCGGACATAATCTCGAAGTTATCGTTATTTATTTTAAAGTTGTTAAGCCTCTTGTTAAAAGAATTTTTATTTTAATTTATTTTCAAAAGTTGTAGAACTCTTAATTAAAGGAATTTTTAAAAAATAAAATAAAAAAACCAAAAAAATCTAAAAAATAAAAAATCCAAGAAAAAAAAGGAAATCAAAATTTCAAAAAAAAATTTTTAAGTCAATAGGCCCGAACAAAATTGTTATCTATATCTTTGTTATATTTTTTATTCTCAGTAATACACAAAAAGAGTAGTGTAAGCACCTAATTTTGTTTGAGTTAATTAAAATCAATTGTGATTTTTATGCTCAATTTAAGTCCATTTTAAACTATTTAAGTCATGATTGGATTTGACTATATGACCCTATTATGTGGGTCATTCGAACCTAAAAGCTTGGAGTAAGCCATTTGGGCTTAAAAGCCTATTGTTCACATTGAAATGAGCCTAATTTTAAATTTTTTCTTAATTAAAAATTAACAAAAAAAAAAAAAACTATAACCTGGTGTTTTACATGGCATCATTTAGGCCTTTACCCTTACTAAGCCACCCTACCCTATAAAGTTGCCCTTTACGACCACTATGGTAGCTAAAATTCAGCTACCAGCCATCTTTATTTTACCTAATCTTTTACCCCATCAATCGAATCTTTAACTAAATTTAAAATTAGAAAACGCCCATAAAACACCAATTGAAAATGAACAAAAAAGGGAGGCCAATTTTATACACTAAGGACGTTGCCAAAAAAAAAAAAAAACCCCATACTGCTTTCACCCACCATCCACCAGTAATATTACAATCAAACATCAACAAGTCCTTTTCCCTCATCATTACCAAGAACCTAAAGCTGCAAAAAAACACCATTGCAGCCTACCATACCTAAACCCTATCATAATCGAGCTTTCCTTTTTAAAAATATACATAAAAAAAAACCCACAAAAAAAAACCTCAACCAAACACCTTTTTTGTCAAACCACCAAAAAACAACAAAAAATTACACACAATAAAAAAAGATCACATCTCTTGGAATGGAGAACCATAATACCAACAGCAGAATAACAAAAAAAAAATTTCACAAAAGTCAAGACTGGGGCTTTTGGTTTTGAAGGATTCTAAGGAGTTTTAGGTTGGGACTTGCGAAATATAGGTTGTCTAAAACGAGGTGAAAAACACAGTTAAGAATGGGGATGAACGAAGCGATGAAAATGGGTGTTTAAATGAGTGAAAATCACAACATTTACGCTCAGAATTAGGGCTTTTGGATGAGTTTTAGCAAAAAATAAGGCTAGAACTGAGAAGAGGGAGAAAACAAGGAGTTATTGGGTGTTTTTAGAAAATTTTCTATGACGATCACCAGAGGATAGCAACAAACAGTGCACGGCAACGCACCGGTTGGATCTTGGGTTGGTTTTTTAACTTAGATGATGGACTTTATTTGTGGATAGAGAGTTTTTTTTTTTTTTAATGAGTAAGGTGTAAAGTGAAGTAAAAAAAAATGAGTTTTATATTGAAAAAACAGACCAATCGACGTTGTTTGACACCTTTAAATTTGCACGTTAACCTAAAACCCGTTCACCTGATTTGTTTTGGCTCGCACCAATTAGCTTAGACTGGTCCAATTAAACCAGTACCAAGTCAAATCGAACTGTAGTTGAGCCACTATTTCCCTTTCAATTTAAAGCTGACCTAGCTGAAAAGAACTAGGTTAAAGCTATCAAATCGTTTCTAAACTGACCAGTTTAGGTAATTTTATTTTTTTGATTTTTTATATTTAGTTTTTTCATTATTTTGTTATTTATTTTCTTGTTTACCCATTTTAAATTTTCAAATTTCCAAAAATAAATGTACATTACCTTTTTAAAAAAATATAATAATAATTAAAATAATTTCTAAACTTTAGGTCATTTTTAAATTTGGAAAAAAATTAAAAAATGATAAACATAAAATAATAAAAATGAGAAAAAAAAGCTTTTATTCGATGATGAGATTTTATGGTATTTCAAGTAGTGATGTTTAAGAAATTTTTAAGTAAGAAAATTTTTTTAAATACTACCAATGTATTGAAATATTTATAAAAAATCTTTAATATAATAAAAATTTTCCTTTTCTCTATAAAAAAAAAACTAAAGCTAAAAAAAACTAAAAATTAAAAATAAAAATAATAAAAATGAGGCAAAAAATTTTTTTATCCAATGATGAAATTTCAAAATATTCTGAGTAGTAATACTTAAGAAATTTTTAGGTAAAAATTTTTTTTTTAATATTATCAACGTATAAGAATATTTTTAAAGTTATTTTAAATTCTAATTTATTTTTTAAATAAAATAATAAAAATAAAATAAGAAACAATAAATAAGAAGAATGATGAAAATGATAAAAAAAAAAAAGAAAATTAAGAAAATTATTTTTAACATCAAAATTAAAGATAATTTCTATCAAAATTAATGGATAATATATAATTAATTGGTACTATTTTAAATGGGCGTTGTAGGAATACTAATCATTTGTTACGCGTAAGTGACTTCCAAATCCAAATTATTTCACAAACTTTAAAATTATCTTTTTAATAAATTTTAATATTTTATTAAAAAAATAAATTTCATTATATAACTAATCATACCTAACAAAAAATAATAATAATAATTTCATTTATTTTTAAATTTGTCTAATAATCCGAAAACCATTATAACATTACTTTTAAACAAATTACCATATTAAATGCTAATATTTTCTCTAAATGCATTGAAATTCATCGTATTCACTCATTAGCAAAAGCTTTAAACTTTTAACAAGTTACAAACAAATAGTATCAATTAAATTAGCTCTCTTTTAGTTGGAATGTTTATGTTCTAAATTCGGATAAATCCAATCATCCTATTCCTACGCATGTACATAAAACATTGTTTTCACTTTTTATCTAATTTCACAAGTTAACTTCATCCGATATATCTAGTTTCCGTGTTAATATCTTTGGAAAAACAGTACCCCAAAAGAAAACATCTTTGAAAGAAATACCATGGCCATGTAGTTTTACAACATATCTTGGAAGGTTTTTTTTTTTCTTTGAAATAAAACAGACAGTAAATTATATAATAAAACACGCTTACATTCTTGCACAATAATGGTTTGAACAGAGGAAAAAGAACAGTTACAGGTGGAAGAAAAAGTCAACCAAAAACAAAGATAAGAATGGCAGGATGGGAATGTCTAGGAAGATTGGTTTCTATTCTGTTTAGGAAAGTTTAAAAGGACTTTAGTCGGCAGATAATTGTTCAAATTTGTATGGAGGACAGCTCACAGATGGCTTATTTGTCAATCAACATTAATATGATTAACAGAGGAGACACAAAATCAAGTTCAAGCCAGCTAGTTGTTTGTTTGCCTAGCCGATTATGCCTTTGCATTTATTCAAGAAGGTAGGTATACCGTTTCTCCGCAGACAGGCGGTCCTTGGTGATTTTGTGAATAAAAATCTTTGCTGAAAAGCGGATCATCCACCTTCAACTGTAATTAGCACTTGGAAAAAATTGTCGAATCATTTTCGCATTTATTGAAGCTTAAAGTTAGATCCATAATTTTGATATGTTAATAAGAGGCAAAAATAATATAAAAGAATATAATTTAAAATTTTAAAAATTATATATAAATTTAATAAAAATTAAAAAAACATGAGTCATATTTGACTCTATACGAATTTATGATACAAATTTGATATAATAAATTATATATTTTATATATATTTGACATAAATATATGAATGGTGAATTTTACATAAAATTGCTCGCATGGAAGTAGATGGATGATGAATAAGAAAAAAAGGAGGAAAATATAAAGAAAGGAAGTTCTTTAAAATAATTATAAAGCTACAAAAGAAACTTGTGTTGTTGAAGTATTAGCAAATAATAGAAACAATAACAACTCTCTTGATTAACAAGAAATTTGATTTTAAGTCTGAAAGGGAAATTAGATTGTAAATATATGTATAGTATGACAAAAGATGAAGGAAAATCACAGCTAGAGATTACGAAGCTGTTTAAGATTCACTGGAGAAACATATTTTGTACTTCCGTCGAGAAGTTGCCTAGCGATTATAAGATTGGCAGCTTCACTTGGGTGGTAAGGATCCCAGAAAACATGCTTGTCACGATCCTTGCACATACTTGATGTTGGTCCACATGGAATTATCCCTGCAAATTGTCCTCCATTCCCACAACAAGCTTTGCTTGATGTTGTAAAACCTGTGTAAAAAGCTCCCAATGTTAAATATTTGGGTAATACAGGCATATATATCAAGCATATACTGAAAGACTTGAACATGGGTCTAACTCAAATGGTTCACAAAAGTGAAGTTTCACAAGATTGAGATTCATTCCTCAATGATTAGGCTCTCCTTTTACCAAAAATATAAATATAGAAAGACTCGAAATATCGATGTCGATACCGTATTTCTCATAATTTGTGATGAGCTCCATCACTAAATCATACACATTGGCATGAACAAATTTGGCACCAGGGAGCTTTCCATTCAGTTCAGTAAGCAAATCCTTTAATCGGCCATTGTACTGCAATGCTAACTTATTCGCCAAATCAACACATTCGTTTTCATTCAATTGGTTGATGGTTTTCTGATAAGGAATGCAGCCTATCGGACCAACATTTCCTATGACAAACTTCCGAGCATCTAGTTGGTAAAGTCTCTGCCACCATTAAAACAACAATTTTTATTAGCTAATAATCAACAAATTCACCAGTATCAAAATGCAATTATATGGGTTATTTCGCATATGCTTTTATCTACATACTGTTAATTGGTCCCTTAAGTGATTGATCATGTCATCAATGAAACCATCAGGACTCTCAGAAATCCTGGCTCCTATGGAAAGAACAGGGAGAAGATAATTGTTCAGAAAATCATTCGCTCCTATTGTAATTGAGAAGATGGATCTCCTCGTAATATAATCTTTGGCCTTGGATGGACCCAACAATTTATCAAACTGTTTCCTTGTGTTGTTGAAGAAGTCGATTTGGATATCCAATCCTAGCCTATTAACCTGAAAAATTAGATTTAAGTTTAGATTCCATATACATTTGTGTGGAAATATGGATAAAGTTAGAAGGGGTAAAAAAATTGAGAGAAAACAGACAAATATTCTTCCGGTTGCATTCATAATTCCTCCTCCTCCTGATGCATAATTTACACCATAAAGTATTGCTTTTCCTGTAGAATTTGGAGCAAGATATGGAACTGCATAGTTTGGTACTCCCAATTCTTCTCCTGTTAAGAATTTCACTTGCATAGATAAGTAATGAATACTCAAAAAGAATAGTAAAGATTTAAATTCAAACTACTCAAAGTATTGAAGAGTCTATCTATTTATCAATTTAATTATATATGTTACTGTTACTATATATATGTAACACTTGTATAATACCCAATTATCAAATAAATAGAACATGAGATACACATAAAGTAGAATTACAGGCAAAAAAAGGAGATAGAGCTTACCTACAATGTCACCTATGGTTCTGCCATTGGTATAGCGGCCAGTAGGTTGTCCTCCGGATGCTTTAAAATCAATTCCATTTGGCGGAATATTGGCCTTGGACAAGGTTGGTAAATAGTTGTTATTACCAGCATCCACCAGAGAATCACCAAAGATGAAAGAAGCTCCAACGCTTTCATTTTTATCATCAGCAGCATTAACCAAATAGCTCAAACTGATGCACAAAAGAACCAAGGCAACACTCCAAGATCTCACCCAGGCCATGGCAGCTGCTGGCTATCTTATTCCAGAATTGAAGCTGATCTTTCTTAAGCCCTAATTGAAACACGGTCGTCGATCAAATTGTGAGTATATAAGCAGTTTTCTGTTAGCTGGGAGTAGCAAAGAGAATTAACCCCACTTGATAAAACTTGTAAAGTTGGGTTTACATGGAGTTGCATTTGGTTTGACCCCTTTCTGAGAAGGGAAGGACCGTTTGATGCAAGGTAGTTGATCAACACCTTGTAAATTTCTTAACGTGTAATGAACTTTTGGCCTTTCTTCAGGTACACGTAAGTAGCAGCCCAGATTATATATTATATGGTCAAGTTCAAAGTCTTGATTAAAATTTTCCTTTCATTGAAATCAGTAGGCTGAACTGTGAATGTTGAGGCAGAGCCTTGGTGATTGTTTGGTAATAATTCAAGAAATTGAGATATAAACTAGTGAGAAAAAAAGTGTTCTACACAATTTGGAAAAATCTATACTAATTTTCAGTCAAATCTAATGTGTCCTTGTGGATTAGATCATCAAACCATTCAAATAAAAATAAAAAATATATCACTTATAATTATTATTATATAATTAATCAATTAAAATTTAATATTTTATAGGATAAAAAATTTATGTAAAATTTACGCTTTTAAACGAAGAATCTCTAAATAATTTTTATTATAATTAATTAATTACAAAATTATAATAAAAAAAATTGTAAGTGAAAGACTATGAGAAATAGGGGTGTGCAGCTGGTTCCAATTTCAGCTTTATGTCAACTTGTTCCCATTTTTTTTTTTTTAAAGCCTACTTACTTTTATTTTAGCTTGACTTTGAGGGTCCAAAAGGCCAAATTGGGCTATTCCCTTTTAAGATTTGAAGGGTAGGCTTTTTGGTTGCCTAAATCTCTGCTTGACTCAACCTTTTAGATAGAGAAGTCCAACATCTAGGCCTATTTATTCCATTGTTGAGTGGATGGTATAGATCCACAAACCAAGCCCGAATATTCAACAAGAACAGGCTCAAATTAGGCCCCATCAGCTTCAAATGGGCTTACTCTAATAACGTGAAACCATTGTTTTCTTTTTTATTTATCGGTAAAAATAGTACAGCATTTTTATTTTATCTGGTAGTGCCCAAATGGGCAACTCTCACTCCCCTTTTTGTCTCCCCTACTTCCCATGGTTGGCTCGAAACTCGACCGTTGAGACACAGACACGAGAAAACAGAGACCTTGAAAAGACTCCAAAAGGAAGAAAGAAAGATAGAGAAGCAGAGAACAATGCCGGCAATAGGAAACAACAAACAAGCCCTAGAAACCTCGCCAAACAACTCTGATCATCAATATTATCTCCAACTTAACAATGAGATCAAAACCCAAACCCCAAAAATCTCACTTTATGAGCAGTCAAGAGAAGAAAGGATCAAAGAAAACCATCAAAGGATGCAACAGCTTGGTCTCAAAGACCTCTCCAACTCCCTCCTCAACTCCAAGTCTCATCTCTCTTCAAGGCGTGGGCGTCCCGGTATTGGCAGTAAGCCACCAGTTACCCCACTACCCCCTTCCTCGCCGCCATCTGCCCCCATCCGCCGCTCCTCCAGGTGATTTTATTCTAACCCTTGCTTTGTAATATCCATATGGTTTTTTTAATAGCCACTGGACTTATGTAGAAGAAGACACTAAAAAGGTCCCATGAAAAGCAGAAAGCAAGGAATTAGAGCTTTTTTTTTTTTTAATGAATTAAGAAAGCGAAGGGAAAGGAATAAACTTGAATTTTGGATAATAATCCAAGTTCAAAACCAACTAATGTTGATGGATTTGTTTGTTCTTTGGGTTTTGGGGGTTGTTTAGGTTGCAAAATGCTACTCCAGTGACCTACTCAGAAGTGTAAAGGAATCAGAGGTGTATACAGAAGAACACGAGAAGCTTGTGGGTAACACAAGGGATTCAAATAACGGTTTGATAGCGGAATAGTGGCCGTAAAATTACGGTAGTGTCACCTTTTGTCATCGTTAGTAAATAAAAAACGGTTAAAAAATTCATTCACAACAAAAATGGAGAGTAACGGTCGCAAAATAACAGTGTAACGAACAATAACGGCAACAACGAACCGTTATTGTCACTATTTCATTTTTTTACTCATGGATCTAATAATTCTAAAAAAATAAAAATTTAAATCTCAGAATAAAACAACAAACTTACAAAAATAAAAGTAAAAGCTAAAGCAAAAAATAAAGTTCATAATCTCATATCTTTATCATCAAAATAAATTTTAAAACGAGTTAGAAAACAGATCAATTATTTCAAGTTTCAACTTTTAAACATTCAATCGGTATTTTCGGCATTTAAATTCAAATCAGTCTCAAGTTTTCAATCAACATTCAAGATCAAATAAGGTAAGAAAAGAAAGTTAAATTTTTTTTTTTTTTGTAAAATGACCTGTTGTGTCTTGTGAGAATTTGAAAGATGAACGAGATATCTGTAGATACTAGGCAAGTCAGCAAGTGATAATGATAAAGGATGTGAGAGAAAATGAGAGATGAAAAAAAAAAAAAAAGAGAAGAAATTTTTGAAAAGCCAAAGAAGGTAACACGAAGAAGAAGATGAACAGAAGAAAGTAACGTTTCTAGAAGAATCTGTCGTTTGCTAGAAAGAATTAAACAAATTTGAGATATTAGGCACTGGGGAGAGATTGGATAGGGTGGGGAGGATTGGGTGTGGTGGGGTGTTGGGGGGAAGGTGGGGAGGGATTGGATGTGGTGGGATGTTGGGGGGAAGGAGGAGAGGGATTGGGTGTGGTAGGGTGTTTGGAGGGTGAGATTAAATTCTTTTATTTAATTTTGTAATTAATTTTTAAAAATTTTTTAGATAAAATTTAATTAGTTGTTTTGAAAATTTATAATTAAAAAAAAAGATATTAATAATTTAATATAATACATAGAGATTTTAAATGAAAATTTTTGATAAATTTTTTTGTATAAGTTAGATGAAAAATAATTAAAATTAAATATTATATTTTGATTGTGTTATATATTAATTTATAATTTTGTATCTGAATTTTAATATTTTTTTGTTGTTTTGATATTTATATTATTGTCAATTCTTTTGATATTAGATTAATTCTTGTTATTTTTGTGTAATTATTGAAGATTGTGTTTATTATATAATTATTAAAAGTTATTTGTGATAAAAAAATTTATATAAATTAGTGTATCAAAAAAATTAAGTTACTTAACAAATTTATCATTTTATGATCTATTGCTCTTATTAAGATTAAAAACTAAAAAATAAAAAATATAGGTTTGAAAATTTTATTAAAATATAAGTTTGAAAACTTTTAATTTTTGAAATTTTTTTAGATAAAATCTAATTAGAGGGATTGAAGATTTATAATTAAAAAAAATTAAGAGATTAATAATTTAATATAATATACATAGAGATTGTAGATGAAAATTATTGATAATTTTTTTATATAAGTTAAATGAAAATTAATTAAAATTAAATATTATATTTTGATTGTGTTAGATATTAATTTATAATTTTGTATATGAAATTTAATAATTTTTTTGTTGTTTTGATATTTATATTGTTGTCAATTCTTTTGATATTAGATTAATTCTTATTATTTTTGTGTAATTATTGGAGATTGTATTTATTATATAATTATTTGAAGTTATTTGTGATAAAAAAATTAATATCAATTAGTGTATCAAATAGATTAAGCTATTTAATAATATTCTTAAGATTAAAAACTAAAAATTAAAAAATTTAGTGTAAAATCAAATTTTAATGATGTAATAAGTAATATTAATATTTCTAAATATAAGTTTATTTTGTTTTTATACAAAATAGTAAGTATGCCACCACGTGAAGAGTTTCCGAGCAAAAGAGTAGAGGGCGCGCCAAATGATGATATAGGTTGGTATTTTGGAACACCTGTGCCAAATACAAGAGGAAATGTTTCATGTAAACTTTGTGGTAAAGTTGTAAAATGAGGAATAACACGTTTCAAAAAACACATTGCTCATAAAACTGACAATGTTACACCATGCCCCAACGTTACTGGTATGTTATGTTTTGTTAATTTCTTTGAAAATATTATTGTTAATTTCTTAATAAAAATTATAAAATTACATAAGAATGTGCAACTAATTTTCTCTTTTTTTTCAACTATATTATTAATAGGTATAGTAAGAGAAAGTATGATGAAACTCCTTCAAGAAAGTAAATAAAAAAAAACTGACAACAAAAGGAGAAAAAATAAATTTTTATCACAGTTAAGAGAGGAAGATGATTATGAAAGATTTATTGACGAAGACATTGCTACTAGACAAGCCATGCGAGATAGTATCTAATCACAACATGAGTGGCACAGAAGACAAGAATTCAGATAAAGAACTAGTGGTTGGAGTAACATATATGAAGAAGGACAAAGCTCTCATGGTTCAGTTGCTAAATATTTTGAAGAAAGAACAAGGAAAATCAACTCCAAATGAGTCTGAATTTTCATTAAGGGGAGCTATTCCTGAATTGGTTAGAAGTAAAAGTTCAAGACAACCAAAAGTAAGTAATTCATTTCCAAAGACATTAAGAAAAAAAATGGGTGAATCAGTATCAAAATTTTTGATATATGATCGACTTCAGTATAAAAAATTTTTATATATGATCGACTTTCTTTTCAATTAGCAAATTCCTCATGGTTGCATAATTTGATTTTTGTGACAGCAGAAGTTGGCCAACATGTAAGACTTTCAACACCTTATGAGGTCTCAGATGTGTATTTAAAGTCTGAGTATCAACAAGTTCATGAATGGGTTAATGGATTAAAAGCTTATTGAAATGAATTGGGTGTCACTTTGATGTGTGATTGTTAGATCAATAGTTTGAATCAAATGCATATCATTAATTTCCTTGTTTACTGTAGTAAAGGGACCATTTTTTGGAAATCTGTAGATATCTCAAGTATTCGTAATAGAGATACAAACTTTTACTACAGATTATTAGATGAAGTTGTGAAAGAAATTAGAGAAAAATATATTGTTCAAATAGTCACTGATAACGACGCAGCACTTAAGGCCGCAAGAAAAAGACTAATGAAAAAGAGAAAATATTTGTATTGGACAGCATGTTCAGCTTATTGTTTGGACTTGTGCCTTAAAGATATTGAGAGGAAAAAAATGTGACAAAGGTTTTGGATGATGCAAAGAAAGTTACTTGTTTTATATACAATCACATTTGGACTATTAATTTGATGAAGAAATATACACAAGGGAAGCAAATACTTCGTCCTGCTCTTAGTCGATTTGTCACTTATTTCATA